GAAATTTTCATGCTTTCTTCCAGAAGTGCACGATTGTTATGCTTATCGGCCCCACTAAAGTAATGATCAGTGTCTCCTCAGCGATGAGTCGGAAGGTCTTGAAAGAGTTATTGATCACAGATGGGCATATTTCAGAGAAGTTGGACCGATTTGAAATCATACTCCTTTAAACCGATGGATCAAAACAAGTTCAGGTCATCAAACCTTATAGGTATGTTATTTTTTTTTGTGAAAAACTTTGGGGTGTATAGTACTTATATTGCATGGGCATGAAAGAAAAAATTGGGCCGTTTTGATATAATTTCCTTTTAAATGATGAATCCAAACGGTACTGCCATCATATTTTTTGGGTGCCTGAATTTATATATATATATTGGAATTTTTTTTATTTCGGTTCTTTTTCGGTAATTACTGGAATTTTTTGGATTGGGCCAAAATTTTGTACCAAATTTTTTTTTGGAAGAATATGAAAGTCAACAGCCATCGCTCAACGGCTGAAATTTCGCAAATTCGAATTATCTTCATCCACATTTGTATTAAATCTATTCGAATGATTCAGACAAATCCGCCATTATCCGATGGTCGCAGAGAATCGTTGCTGAGTTTTGCGCGTGGCGCGCAAAAATTCAGGCATCAGGCCGATGACTTGCACATTCAAGCCACGTTTGATTCCGGCATAATTTATTAGATAATCACTAGCGACTCTTACATGCTTCGCACATAACAGTTTATGCAGACTGAATGACAAGAGAAAAAATACGGTAATTTCCGGATTCAGCTGCCAAAATTACACAGGAGCCATTTTTCGCATCCATATTCAAGATTCCTCACTGTTCCTAACATCAAGTTTTTTTGGACAAGGGCTTCTTTCCGCCCTTAAAACGCCATGTAAAACTCATCTGATTGTTATGTGTCAGAGAGGAGATGAAAATTTTATTTCTCAGATAATAAGTGGAGTTATTCCCACTCAATTCTTGCCGCTGCAGCCGAGAATGATCCTCGTTCTCTTCCAAAACCTTAGGAAAAATCAATATCCCAAGAAGAGGGGATTTTTTTGAGCTGAAAAATCTCATTTTTCAAAAATTTGGTAGATTTTAGATGAAAAATAAGATCATTTTCGGAATCAGAGGCAAAACTTGAATGGGAATCAGCCACTAGTTACCTGAAAAAAAATGTTTTCCTTTCCTTTCTGGCGCAAAACAATCGGATGAGTTATACATGGTGTTACATGGGCGAATAGGAGCACTGGTCCGGAAAGACCTTGATGTTAGGAGCAGAAAAAAAACTTTAATAGGTATGCAATACTAAATTCCCTACCTATTGGATTTTAGCTGCTGAATCCGAACACTGATTTAGCTTTTTTCCATCATGCACAGATTGGCTGGAACATTGATATTTCTTTGGAAAAGCTAGATTTGTAGGGAAAATTCCGATTTTTGAGAGGTACATTAACCTAACACCTATCCCAGAAAAACGAACATGATGTTCGATATCAGCGCTAAAACTCTATCCAAGGTGAGTTGGAAGAGATTCAGGTAAATCTAAAAAATTAAAATTTGTCGACCATTGTTCCCAGTAAGTGTTTATCTCATTAATCAATATTTTAAATTCGCCTTATAGCTTATTGAAGCTACCAGATCTGCCAGAACCTCATTTTGAACTGGCAGCAAAGGCGGTACGACTTGCGACGCCACTCGATGGCCTACATTCTCAGCACTGCCACTACGGCACCCTGTTTGTCCATACCTGTAGTAGAGTGCAGGTACCTTGATCATAGACCATGACATTCTGGCCACAACTAGTTTTGGCACCAATGGAGGATAAATATGCACTGTTGTCCTACCTGTTTTGTTGTTCGCGGAAGTGTTTCAATATTGCTTCCATTGGCGAAGGGGGCTTTATCTTGGCCCTTGTTATTGGATGTGATGACTTCTGCTGCCGGCATCGTGAGAGAACTGACAGTAACTACTTTGCAGGTCAGAGGAAAACAGGATTCACTGGAGTCACATGTGACGTTACATTACTCATACGAGTAGAATTGAGGACTAATAAGCAAGTTATTCGGAGCAACCACGACCATAGTATTGATAATGAGAAATATCATGGAACTCCGCTCGCAATAGTCAATTAACATGACACTATCGGATAAGAAAGAAGAAAAAGCTGAAGAAAACGGCGGCTGCTTGACGAGCGTAATAAAATCTAGCTACATTCTACATTGGTCGGATGGAAGCACGGTGCAGGGAATAAGAAATGACTTCCCAATCGCAGGGATAAATGATAAAACCTAAAGTCACATAAAGAAAGAAAAGTTTCATTCTTCATCAGAGAACCAACGCGGACACAAGACACAACCAGAACCACAACTATGATCACAGACCGCGACTGCAAAACCTAAAGGGTCCTCGCAGGGCTATAGAGGCTAGAAAAATAAAATTTCCTCACAAGAAAAGCGTACAGGAAACTCAGGAAAGTAATGCATAGAGAAAAAAGGAGGTGTTTCCAAGGCGGATAAAGAATGGTGGTCGCATCTCAAGAGACCCTCCCCCTCCACTGGCCTTCTAGCGACAGGTGGAAGCTTCTACTTTCGGGGTTTCAACAATTCCTTATGGACAATTATTAGGGAGCAACAGTCATCACCCTATTTTCGGCTGTTGACTTACCTACATGGTCGATGATGAGCTTCGGGTGACGTCATGAGCCAAACAAGTTTCCTAAACTTCGGCCATTTTCGGCTTGTTTCACTTGTTTGCGAAACGAAACTGCCAACACGTTGTTTAACATCAACCATGTAGGTAAGTCATCAGTAGAATGCTGAAGTCCCGAAAGTAAAAGCTTCCACCAAGACCAAGATACTAGTGGAGGGTCTTTTGTCTCTGATCTCTAGAGTACCTGTATAGCGAGAGTACGGACAGATGTGAAACTCCGAAAATCCATCAGGCCTTCACCGATGCCTCCGTGAATGAAGTTAGGGCCAAAGAGAAAACAAGAGTCCGCATTGCATTACAAAAGTGCGTGGTCGCCCGACGCC